TTGAACACTTTTTTCTTTATATAAAGATAAAAATAATTTGATACTGGCATCTGACCATGAGTGTGTTTGATTTCTGTTTTCCTCTCTTCTTATTTCATCTTCATTGTTTATTATTTCACTAACTTGTCTTTCAGTGACATTTTCAACATTATTTTCAGTAAAATCTGTACTATTTTCTTCATTGTTTCGTACATCATCATGTAATGGTATTAATATGTTTTTATTGTCAACTGTACAGTTAAGTGTGTCACAAGAGAAATCAAGATCTTTGTACGAAATTGCAAACTGTAATCCTCCTACACACAAATACAAAGTATATTATTAAATATTTTACATATGGTTTATGTGACAATTAGGGTCGGTTTTTTCAACTTTTTGGTAAGCAAGAAATTGAAAAAAGTGACCTTATAGTTATTGATACGGTAATTGTTAAATATCTCTTGAATCTGTCTGTAAAATTATTTTTACGTATATCTATTATTACCTTCAGTATAACATGTTACGTTTCCATTCGCATCTACTAGGATATTCCCTCTCTCATCTTTCTGTATTCTTCCAATTTCATTGTCCATTGTCTTGTTTGATCTTGTTTATTATAAAATGATTGCTTCTAATAATTTTAGGTTATTGTGTACTACACTGACTGCAACTGACTGCACCAGACTGCACTGCACTGGTTGTACTACCTCCGGACCCAGTGCAATCAGTACAGTGAACTGTTGCACTAGTTCTCTTGCACTGTTACTAAGAACGGCAACATTTTTACCAATTCTGCTACAAAGAACGCTTCAGTGTACACTTTTTGAACTAGTACAGCCAGTTCAGCTACAAAGAACAAACCTCTGCTCCATCTCCGTCAGCTCCGTGCTCCGGCTTTGTCTGCAGTCTGGTATCACCGCGGGGAGGTGCGCAGGGCCGTGGATCGCGGACATCGCGCCCATCGCGGTTCGTTTCGTCGCAGACGTCGCAGTTCGTGGAGCGCGTTCGCGGCGGTGCCCGAGACTCCGAGGTACGAGCCGGATAGACGCGCGACCGCGATGAGGATGGGATTGCCGCCGTGCGGCCGACAATGAATCGCGCTGCGAGTCGCGACCGTGGCCGACCGCGTAGCTCAGGCTGCTCAGGTGCGATCGTAGAGCCGGAAACGGAGTTGACCGGCGCGAACGCGGCACCGAGGCGTCACCGCCTCGTTCTCTGACGATCGCGGGACGAACGTCGGTCCTCCCCGAAGGGAAAGAGAAAGAGAGAGAGAGAGAGAGAGAGAGTGTGTGTGTGTGTGTGTGTGTAAGAGAAAGAGAGGGAGGCGAGGGAGATAGAGAGGGAGAGGGAGGGAGAGAACGAGACGCGAGGACTGCGAGGAGGTCCTCGTCGCGCGAGAGCCGTTGCTTTTTTTGGTCGAGCGTCGCCGACATGAGCCAGACGAGCCGCGGGCGAGCGAGTCGCGTCACCAGTCGCGCGAACGGCTGCCGCCCCGTCAGCTGATCGTTCATCGCACAACGAAATGTGAGGTAGCGAGCGTTACCTCTACACCTATCTCTACCTATCTACCTGTCTACTTACCTTATAACTATACCTAAACGTCAAGCCAGAGGACGTCGTGCTTGCTGCCGCGCGCATCGCGGTTCCGATTTACGCCCGGCCCGCGGTCCCCCCGCCCTCCTCCCGCGTGCGAACTGTGAGACTAACAGCGTGACCGCGCGCGCGAAGTGCGGGAAGCGGGGAGCACACTGGCAACCGGTTAGAGTTTACATGGGAACATGGGGAACAAGAATAGCTGTTGCGTCTACTCCAGTCCGCAGGTCGGGCGCAAGGAAGGCGGGGCGAAGATACGGCCCGAGTGCAACTCGCGCCTGGGCCCGGGCCTGGAGGAGCACCTGCCGGAGGGTGGGATTAGCGTAAATAATTTGCAACATATCAGTGAACGCGAGCCGGAGGACTGGGACTCCGATCCGTCGTTGCACCCGTGCGCGGGAACTATCTTCATGGAGCGTTCCAAGAAGTCTATCGAGAGTGAGTAATACCCAGGGAATGGGCGCAGCAGGCTAGTCTTTAATAAACGGGCATGTATTTGATCGCCTCCCGGTCTCTTCTTTTTCCAGATGGCATGGTGAGGAAGAAGAGTCAACATCAAATAGCGGACACAAGGCCTTTGAAGAAGAGTAGCAGCTGCAGTACAATATATTTAGACGACAGCACGGTTTCACAACCTAACTTGAAAAATACCGTCAAATGCGTTGCCTTAGCCGTTTATTACCATATTAAGAATAGAACGTCGCAGCGACAGATCGATATATTTGATGAGAAACTGCATCCATTAACGGTACTAATATCAAAGAGATACGACGTTGTGCATTAGCTGCCTTCATAAACCACTCATCTATTTCTGTATTTTCGCATCTCTTCTCTATATGCTCATTTAATACCAATCGAATTGATTGCTATAGATCAGACAAATCTTAAGATTTTTTCTTACACGATACTTACATCATACTTGAACAGTAAATCTGTCTTTCAGAGGGACGGTGTTTCGGAGGATTATGACAAGCATAATCCGGAGCATAAGCAAATATATAAATTTATAAGGACTCTGTTTAATGCCGCTCAGCTCACTGCTGAATGTGCCATCATAACGTTGGTTTATCTCGAACGCCTACTTACTTACGCGGAGATAGACATAACACCGGCTAACTGGAAACGTATAGTGCTGGGAGCTATTTTATTGGCGTCCAAAGTTTGGGATGATCAGGCGGTGTGGAACGTGGATTACTGCCAAATCCTGAAAGACATCACCGTGGAGGATATGTAAGTTTTTTTTTCAATTACATTTTAGATTATTGCACTTGCTCGTTTTATGAAACTAAAACAAACTGAAGCCCTGAAAGATACGAGTGGAAGTTTGAGATGCTACTATTAACCATATCAATCGAATAAATTTATAACTTCTAACTAGGAACGAATTAGAGAGGCAATTTCTGGAGATGCTGCAATTCAACATAAATGTTCCTTCGAGTGTATATGCCAAATATTACTTCGATCTTCGTACACTTGCGGAAGCGAACGAATTAACATTCCTTAGCGAGCCACTTAGCAAGGAGAAGGCGCAGAAGCTAGAAGCTATGTCCAGAGTTTACGAAGATAAGGTCACAGCCGAGGCTCTACGTACCGGTATTAAAAAGTGGTCCAGCTTAGACAATGTATGCATAGGCGGACCTAGACGTAGCATTGCTATTTTATCTTAAACATATGCACGGATGTAAAAACGGATCTAAACGCAGAGACGCAAACGTTACTGCTCAGATTTTAAATAAAGGTACGTGAAACTTTGTAAAGACATTGTTACCGATCAATTTTAATGATTTTTGAAAGAGATCGTTTGGATTATACCAAACATTTGTGTTACATCTTTGTTTAATTATTGTGGAATATTTGATGTATTATATACATCTCTTGGCAAACTGTTTTTATATATTGTCTAAACTAGATGTAAAAATATCGCATATATACCGTAATGTACGACTAAGTTGTATCATATTTCCGTCGCAAGTATGGTTTGCAATAACAATCTTAAATCTAACAATTATATATGTACTCTAAAATGTAGACGTTTCTCAATTTATTATAATTTCCAACCTTAAATCTAACCGTTATATGTGTACTCTAAAATTTAGACGTTTCTCAATTTATTATAATTTCCAATGCGTTATTCTAGTTGTCTTCATTAAAGAATCGTGAGGTGATCCGATAGAGAAAAATTTCAGATTGGTCTTCTTTCTAGATACAATTCCCATTTCCAAATTCTAGATTCACTTTGATTAACCGTGTTATACCGCTAATTACGGAAAACTATAAATATTAATCTTATTTGGCAATAAATGTCAATATATTTCTGTTGATTGTGCAAAGATTCTACTGTCTGGGACCTTAAAATGTGGATATAACAAAGCATACGAGAATGTGAGGCGTACTGACGAAACAAAGGGTGAGAAAGAAAATGTTTTAGTCGTAGCATTATCTGTACTGTCCTTATGGGAGAAAATAACTTGTGATATATATTAGTCAACTGTTCATTATCCAAAGCATTTTATATATTGACTGAATTTAATAAGAATCAAACTTACGGCTGATTTACTAATAACATTCTAAAAAGCGAAAATGTATACAGCACGCTTCAAATTAAAGATCATTGATATTTGTTAATAAACGCTACGTAATTTATCAAGATAATCCAATTAGAAATTTGTAAGCCAAAGTTGTAATGCATGTCACTTGATATGTCCAAATTATTTTTTAAGTATATTAATATATTTCTTTGATTTGCCTAACTTCTCACTGTCGTGTACATCGAAAGTTTATTATATGAGAGAGAAATTATCATGGATTTAGAAAATGAATTATATACGTTTTTTTAATATATAATATTCCTATGTACTTTCTTTTGATATGTTTCTATAAGTACACACGTTTATTTGTTTTCATTATTTTGATTTAGAATTATTGCTATTATTATTAGAGTTTCCTTTAATGACAAATGTACAGCATAACAATTTATTTAAAAAAGTTTTTGACACTTAATTCGATATATCGGATTTGATAAATGATTTATGTATATTGAATAATGGTACATAGTGAGAACACCATTTACAATAAGTATATTATAACGTAAATATTAGCAAATCAGCCTTTGTAGCTTATTAAGAATGAAGGGCACGATTAAATTAGTCTGAATAATTGCTTTTATATGGCGTTACTTCCATGGATTTATAATTTTAGATAATGCGCGCGATAAGGATAAGCCATGATATCAGGGTTGCATCTTTTTTCTCTTATAAGATTACTCAGTCTTGCAAGGTTATTCACATTATTAATGATGGAACTTCACTTATAATTAATTTATTTTAACAGGATTATTGAAGTTAACACAATTTCAAATCCACATTTGTTTGTTCTTTTCATTATGTAATACGTATTACTTTTAGATGCTTTACAGAGATGTGTCGAATATTCATCAGCCTTTAATATAATAGGAAATTATGAAGTGATCACATTTTTATGGCCATAAAATTTCTATAAATACTACTATAAAATATTTAAATCGGACAGCTATGTAAAGTATATGCGTTTCGTATAGCATGCAATTAAATCTTCCAAAGATCATCGAGGAACACGCTCACTAAAAAAAAAAGAAAAAAGAACTTAGAGGTTGTATCATATTCACATTTTACTGTATAACAAGGTCAAATTGAAATACCATTAATATAACGTGTACCATATATATTACTAATTGACTTATATATGATATAATTTAATATTTTGTACCTACCAATTAGAACTTAAAAATATAAGATAGTCTTATTGTATGACTGGTTGTACGTCTATAAGAATTAAAGAGTGTAATCTGAAGTTCCATTGGATTTTCAGAATGCCCGTTACGGAGGAAGAGTAATTGCGATTTATTATTATTTTTATATTTTATTACACGAAAGTCAGAGTATTGTAACGGTCGAATTTATAATATAGAGCGGCTGCAAAGCCCGATGTATGCGAGAGGAAACGAAACGAACTACGTACGTTCTCAGCTTTTAATGCATTTGTATAGTATATACCGGATGATAAGAGCATGATGTAACGTATTTGCAATTTCTGTCCATATTGCAATTTTTTATTTCGCCTGTCCGATAAATAAAAATATATTTTTACTGCATTACTATATCATAGGTAACTACATACATACGTGCTATGTATGCTGCGAAAGTGTTTATACAACTTTACAGAGCAATTAATACACCGTGCGATGCCAAAATGTTGTTAAAATTATATTGTATAGACTATTGCACACACACACATACACACACACAGGAAGAATGTGTACTGCACTGCGATTTCCAGTTCGTTTTTATCTCTGTTCTAATTTTCTGATAAAAACTAGATCTTTATAGATTTTCACGCGCATGACTATTTTTATAAATAGATATTCATTATAAAGACAATCTTCGAGTCTTATTGCGTCCTGTAAATAAATTGCCGAATTCGTGTAAGATTCGTAAACGTGTGTATCATAAATCGTACCACTTTGTTAGTAGTTACCCGAGCACTAAAAAAAAAACCGCTTGAAGGTGATATTTCATAGGGTCGCCTTTAAGTCTTCCATCCTCTAGCGTCTGTATAGAGTCCTACAATACTTCAACTCCATGTAATAAGTATTATGTTTAACATATTATGAGACCGATGCTTTTACGATACGAATTTGTGATAAATAGATATACCAATACATTATAATATCGTTTTGTACATATATATATATAGATATATAAATATCTGCATAAAACACGCCTGTATCTATTTTCATTGTAAATTTTATTGTCCGATTACAAAGGCAGATATTATAAGGCTATGAAATTTATACTCTGTCACATCTTTCACGTTTACTAAAAAAAAAAAAAAAAAAAGGAAAGAACAGATAACTAGGAGTCTCTCTTCTCCCTACATTTTGCCCGATATTAAAAGAATGGATGCTTCCGCTTAAACACATACCGCTTTCATATGATTATCGCGTACGAAGTAGCAATATTCCTTGGGAATGTAAAGCACAAGTCGTTCGCGTTTTCAGCACTCCTTTTTAACACTACATCTTATCCGAAGAATCGCGATTGGAAGCATAGAAAGCGGTATGTGCGTGCGTACGTATGACAGTAAGATGTATAAAACGTGTGCTTCTTTTTTCGCAAAGAAATTATTATTGATAACGATTATACACAGAAATACAATTACGTGTTATTCGACTATGTATACAATGGTTGTATCGAAACGATGATTGTATACACAAGCGAAGTCATTCTCATCTTTCCGAAAAGCGCCAAATTTCTAAAAAAAAAGAACGCAACTTTTTACAAAAATAAATTGTGCCTGAAATAATTTACTTAACCGACATGATTATTTGCATTTGTATATATATATCCTATGCCAAAACTTTTAATATATATATATATATATATATATATATATATATATATATATATAT